TGCGTCCTTCAAGGGCAAAAGGCAGAGAATTCTCAAAATTTTCTCTTTCCTCTCTTGCTAGTGAAAATTACTAAAAATTACAGCTTACAATCTGGAGTGTATTTAATCAAAGGTTCTAAAGTGATTTCCATCAGGTGGTAATTGGTATCTTTAGGTTGTTTTCAGCTATTTGCAAACAAAACAAAACATAATATTTCACAACTAGCTGAAATGTAAAGCCTCTTTGCTGTTGGCTGGAATTAAATTATCTAGTTTGGTAACACCAGCTACCTCATGATGATAAGAGGTTTTGGTGAGAATTGAAATAGAATTGTTCAGCACAATAAAAAAAAGACCTTTCAAAACATAAGGATCATGGGGTAGAATAATAAAAAAGATCCTTTATGTAAAAAGTTGGCAAAACCTTTGAGGAGGCTCTGATATGCTAATTTTATAGATGAGCAAACTGAGAGTTAGACAACTTTGCTCTTATTGATCCCTTCCCTTTACTAACATCCTTTCATTCTTGGATATTAATACACAATTTAATAGTGATGCAGGGCTGGTAGAGGGCACGACAATAGAAGGTCCCCATACTTGGATTGATGCTCTGCTGTCGCCGCCTTGAAATTCTTATCAAGTTTTGAAGGAGGGCTCTGCATTTTCAGTTTGCATCAGGCCTCACAAATTATGTAGCTGGCCCTGTAGCTATGCTTATGTTTTTCTTATATTTCATTATTTCCGCTGCAAGACAAAGTTATCTAGGAGCTTAACTTTTGGTGTTTCTCACCCCTTTTCCCAAGGTGTCTCCCACACCAGTGACTAGTGGATATAGAGCCACAAGGAGGGCTGAGACCGTGGTCTGTTCCTCTTTTCATTTCTAGTGCTAAGCTCGGTGCTTGGTACAGAGTAGGTGCCTAATGAACAGTCAACAAATACCTTTGACTTCTTTCATTGACAAAACATTCAAACTTTAATAGTTTTAGTTCTGCCGTGAAGAGTAACTCAGTGAATTGGGAGAGATTAAAGGTAAAATATTCAAGGGAAAAATCTTTCTTGGAAAGAATGAAATTGGATTGAGGGAAAGTTTAAAATAAGTAAATTGGAAAGACAGGTTGAACTCCAGGTTGAATACGAAGTAATGGGTGGGAGGAGGGATGAATGGTTAGAAGTAGTTAGATGTCTCTCAACAAAGGTACATCCTGAGATGGATCCTTTCTTCTCAAATTCAATTTAATACATGTCTGATTTATCTTGGAAATTGTAATTCAAGAAATGATAATTGTCCAAGTTTGGGGGGAACAGGACATATAGGCTGCGCATTCAGAAGGAACCAAGAGATTACTGATTCTTCTTCGACTATTCCAAGGGTTCCTTGACCTACTGTTTTGCATTAAGAAGCAGAGTATTTTGAATTAAAAAAAAAACTTGTAAGGAGAAGTAAAAGTTTTAATGTTTCCTCTGCCTCTGGGCAGAATTGACAGAGCTCATGCTCTGGTTCCCAGTTATCGTAACTTGGCTAACCACATTTATTATTTAAACCATGATAGTTTCCTACCCTATGTTCACTTTGGGAGACATATTTCTAACATTCATTTTTGTAAAATAAAATAAACGAACACTCTTTTCTCTGGAGACTTTTATGTTGTGTTAGATCACTTCTCATGTTGTTTGGAAGTATCAGTTCTTTACCAATTGTGTATCTCCCTCAGTGAGGTTATCTCTTAATGGTCTACTGCCTTTATCCTGGATAACACAGTGCAGTTCTACCCATCTTTAAAGAGGTTCCTTATAGCACAGTCTTGTCTTATTTTCTCTATTGTTGCTACATCACACTCGAATAAGTGACTTAAACTGTGCACAGATGTTCAGGTGTGGCTTTAATTTCTTTTTATATTCCAGGATAATAAGTTCTTTTAACATATTCATTACTTCTATTATGGTTCTCCAAATTATGCATGGTGCTGTTATAATGCCGGTTCACTGAATATTAAAGATATGAGAGCAAGCAATTTTACGCTTCAGGTGATTATTTATGGGAAAATTCAATTTCTGGAGTATGATGGTGGACTAGAGGTGGTGAATAATAGCGCTGACATTCACAAGCAAAGAGAAGCAACAGTGGAAACAAGCATCTGGGGGAGAGATAGCAGTGAAGGAGTGAATGGGAGAAGAAGCGGGAGCGTATCGGTTAGAAACACTCAGATTGTAGATAGGCCGTGGGGAGGTGTTAGGGCCGCACATCTGAGCTCCAATCTGGTGTGCTTGCTGGGCCAGGGAAAGAATTACAGGATTTGGTGAGATGCACAACAGAATTTCATAGACCATCTCTAATGGAAAAGGAGATGATAAAAAGGTAGCTTCATCAATGGAGAGGAATGTAGATTTTTAGCTCCCTAAATCTCTACTGGAATAGAACTACAGGGCTACAAAACATATTCTGTGTTAGGCAAGAATATTCCTCACTCTCAGCCTTGAGGAAAGTGACTACTCAGACAATTCAATGATGGTATTGTACAAGAGTGTGGATGGCGGAATCATCTTTATTGTTCCCATTCTTATGTGACTCACACTTGAATAAGAGTGCTTTAGGGATTCGGCTGCTGGAATTGTAGCCGGCATCAGAAAAACTCCACCTAGAATGCCCGGCTTTGGTCCTGCGGGGCCTGTACTCTCAGAATGCCTCAGTTTTACAAACCAACGAATGAAGGAATGGGAGAGAAGAAATGGCAGGGTAAAAAGTACTTTGAGTTTTATTTCACAAGCCAACATTAAAAACACCAATATTCAAGCACCCAAGTTCCTTCAATTACCAGGAATTCTTAACTTAAAAACAACAACAGTAAAAATAAAAAGAAGATCCGGAACCCTTAGTCCAGTTTTTATTGTCTAAGGCCAAGCAAGCAGAGAGGCAAGCTATTTTTACTAATTTTAGAAAAGTAATGAAAATATAGAATAGGAAATTGGCAACTTGATCAAACTCACTTCAAATGAAAGTTTGAGCTGAATGTGACATGAATATTCAGACAATAGCCACGTGTTTGAAATTGCTCTTGAGTATAATTCCAAAATTTATGCATTTTTATCATCTCCCAGGCAAAAAGCCAAAGGCTAAAAGAGCAGAACATGAAAAAGCTGAACCTGAATTATGTTCTAAACCCTGTTGAGTTTAATTTTACTCACAAAGCAGAATGTTAGTTTGCTGCTTAAATGTGCCCCTCACAGCCCTGTAAAAAGACCTAGTTTCTCGTTATCAGCATCTAAACTGTGTGACTCATTTAGAAAGCTCCGATTTCAGAGGCATCATTCTAAATTACTGAGCAAGTGCTACACAATAAACACAAATAATCTCAAACAGACTGTAGCATGAGAAGAAAGCAATTTTCTAGAAATTTGACTGCAGTGTGGGGTGAGCAGTTCCATGAGCCTTGTAACTTCGAAAGGCATAGAGGAAAAATTTTAGCTAAATGGAATATTGTGAGAGGATGAGCCCTTAAAAGGTTGTTGCTTTATAATAGGCAATACAGATACACAGTCTTGATAAAAACTTGTAAAAAAGTTCAAACAACCTTCTGAACAGAAACAAACACACACAAAAAAAACGAATAAACTGCTACACACCCAGATACACACTTGCTTCAAATCAACATTTTACTTGGACCAATGATGGATGCACTACCAACAATCAGTAAGCCTTAGATGAAACATAAAACTAAAACAAAGAGATGATGAATCTTACTATATACCTTACATTTTTTGCTCAAGATTTTTATAATATTGATAAATTCTTAAAAATTATAATTGGAAAACACTCCAAGTGAGTAAGAAATAAGATAATCTAAGATATACGTTTCTGCTGTGGATTGTGAAATTTTGATTTGCAGAGATCATGCAAAGGGTCTTAGCATGCAATACGCATAGCACACAAAGTGTAATTAAGATCAAAAGGGAGAGGCATAAGGTGAGATTCTGGTATGGTCTAGTAGTTTGTGTCTTGAATGGTAGTTTCATGGTGTGTTCACTTGGTAATTTCTCTTTGGGATGTACATCTGTACACTTATAATTTGTAAAATTTTCTGTAGGTTCTTTGTGTCTCAATAAAAAGCTAAAAGGGGGGAAAGAAGAAGAAAGGAAGAAAGAAAAGAAGGAAGGAAACAAGGAAGGAAAAGAGAAAGAAAGGAGAGAGGGAAGGAGGGAGGGAGGGAGGGAGGAAAGGAAGGAAGGAAGGAAGGAAGGAAGGAAGGAAGGAAGGAAGGAAGGAAGGAAGGAAGGAAGGAAGAAAGAAAGAAAGAAAGAAAGAAAGAAAGAAAGAAAGAAAGAAAGAAAGAAAGAAAGGAGGAAGAAAGAGAGAATGCATGCTAGCAGCTACATTTCCCATACTGAGAAATAATGTGGTGAAAGAAATTGGTACTGTTATTTACTTAATTCAAATGATGTGTAGCTTTATAGGGTCATACTATTTGGCAGCCTGGTTCATACTTAAAAACCACTTAACTGTCATTTCTGCACAGAAAATTGTATTGGCATTTTCAGACTTTAAAAAATCCCTGTGACTTAACAGTTGTAAATGCCACTGTAGTAGGCATGCCGTTAGTTTTCCCGACTGGGGAGGCAGAATTTAGAAGTTAGTGGAGGAAACACATGCCTGGAGGCTCCACTGACTTTGCATTTGAAAAAAGCACATAAAGACACAAACACATTTTATCTCTGTATTCCAAGGGTCTTTGTGGCTCAACTGTTTACAATTTCTATTTGGCATTAAATTGATTAAACACTTAGTGACCACTTATTACTAAAGGTGTTTTGGACCCTGAAGCTGGAGCTGTAGGTTTTGTCTGTTACTAAGGAGCAGTTTTCCATGTAATATTTTCAAAGGCAAAAGGTTAAGCAAAAATGACATATATTGTAAAATTGAAAGTAAAATGCACAGTACTGATGTGCTCAAAGTCCATGCATTTAAATTCCTTTGTATGATAATTTATGGTGATCATGTCTTCAGACTGCACTATTAGCATACTCACCCCTAACAAGAAGTTCTGCCTCATCTGACACACTGTCTGCTGTGGTCTGTACCCTGCAGCCATATCTCCCAGCATGCATCAGAAGGATGTTCCTGATCATTAAATCTGCAGAGGATGCTTGCTGAAAGAGGGATGAAGTGCCAGTTTAAAATGTTGCAAATCTGCCTAGTTCAAGGTGGTTTAAGGGGAACTTTGCATATTTAGTCTAAGGGCCCATTTTTGGCCTTACAATTTATAAGACAACAATTCAGAAATCAAACATGCCCTAGTTTAAGGAACACATGGAAGTTATGTTTTCAACAATTGCTGATACAGGGTTTGAACATTTAATATTGCATATAATAATTTAGCAGCTATAATCTCTAAGAAATATTTAAATATGCACACAAATTCATATCTTTAAAAGTATAAGAAAAATAATCATTGAGCAAAAATTATTTCTTTGCTATTCAGAGACAGGACTATTTTTTGTGGCAAGAAAATAGTATTGAAAGGAATAGCAGCTTGTGAAAATTACTTCTGAGAAGACAGCAGTGAAAAGATTATCTTGTATGGCTTTATTGAGTGATTCTTTTTGTAAATACACCATGGGAACGAGACAGTGCTTAAGTAAAGACTGCTGGTCCCAAAACCATGCATTCCTCCCATGACCATGATTTCACCTCCCACAACTGAATCCTGGGCTGCCACAACACTAATCCCCCATAACCATCGGGGAGCAGGATCAATCTGAGTCTTTGTTAATCAATGCAGATACAAAACCCCAAAGGAGCTCAAAACACCTGATTCTTGTTTTGAGCAAGATGTTTAGAACATGGCTGAAGAACAAATGCAGTTGGGAGATCCATAGTACCAGGAAGAGTATCTGTTAGATGTATCAGTTCATGGGATTGGTGATGGTCCTCCCTACACTCCAGACTGACTGGTGCAACTTTTCATTACCTAATCTCGTCTTTCCTTTTCCATGAATATGTAAAGATCTGGCATTTACAATCACTCACTCATGAGGTAGTTTTTGTTTTTTTTCCAGATAATGACACAGCAAAACTCCAATACACTTTTCATTTTCCACGTTGCAATAAAAAAAAACAATTGACTGGAATGAGAGCAGATGCATGCAGCTTGAAATGACATATTCAGAGAATTCAACACTCTCCAACAGCTTGAACACATGAAAGAATGTTTTAAGCATGTTATAGAGAAGTATCCCAGATAAGAGATCTTTTAATTTTTGATGGGATGGTGAATTACCTTTAAAAATAATGCATTTGTCCTTAGAGGGCAGTATTCTGATGATTATTTAAGAGATTAACTGTTTGCATTTATTTTGAAATAGACCAATGAGTTATATGAAAATGAAAATGATTTCTAGAAATACTTTGTACGTTTTTTCCTTGGCATTCATTCCTTAGCATCTAAATTAACTATTTAATTGTATACTATTGTTTCCATTTCTTTCTGGTATTTCATTGCTGATGGGTTTTTTTTTATCTCTTTCTAATAGTCTTATAAGAACTTCTAAGGGTGTTGAACTTTTCTCTCATGAAATAATTGTTAAACATGATCTGGTTTAGTCATTTACAAGGGAAAGCTTCATAGTGAGAATGCATTAAAATGTCATAACAATTATTTCAAGAAATGTGATATTTGTCAGTAAATGTCCTATGCTGCTAATTTCTTTAGGATAAATGGTTACTCTTAAATTTCATTTTCTCATCTCTACTAGACTAAGGAAGTACTCACTTCTTTCAAGTCAGAACAGGAAATTTACACTTTAATACCTCTTGACTATTATGGGGAAACAAAGCAAACTGTAAACATTATAAGCCATAATTCAGTTTCAAATCAGCATCATTTAATAAGGTATAAATAGGCTTCAACATATTTGCCACTTTTGTAGTATGGGCCCATCTTAGATGTGAAAATCTCCTTTCCCTCCTGGATTCCTGAGAAGCTCTCCTGGTGGGGTACTCAATTAAATTAATCAGGAATCAAATTTAAAATCACAGGCACAGAATGGGGCTTATGTCTAATGGAAAAGCTAAGGAGAGGCCCAGAAAATCAGAAAGGACTTTATTGTTTCCTAAAATGAGCTTCTGAAAGGCTGAGGTTGGTGTTTTTGGTTTGTTTTATTGTTATTTTTTCTGAAAGAGGTTGCATGTTCACATGCTGGTGGTGGTTTAATAGCTGAAAAAGTAATTATTATAAGTCATTATTGAGGCTCACATTTTTGAAAAAAGTATTTTGTAAAATTACATTCCTGTGATTAAAGAATTGTCTTATTTTCCAGAGCCTTTTCTTCCAAAATATTTTTTTTGGTCCTCGACAAAAGTCCCTAAAGCTTTGTCTTTTATGATGAAATATATTGAAATAAAAACTTAGTGGGTTAAGAAGAGCCTTCATTAAAAATCTCAGGAGGGAGAGGTGCATATTATCATTCCTATGTTGTCCTTCACTTGGTTCCTGCAATTAATAGTGTGGAATGCCTTATACACTGGCTGAAGCTCTATCACCATCTATCAGGAATAAAAAAGTCTACCATCTATTGTATGTCTATCAATACCAACACTATTTGAGGAGTTGAAGTCTCACTTTGGGTCCATCCCTTCTCTTTTGAATTATATCTGTATTATTTTTTTTATAATTTTAAATGGGGAAAATTAAAAATAAAATGAATGGATTATGAACACTAAACCTAAATTACCCTTTCAGTAGATTTACTGATCTTTCAAAAGAAGTAATGAGAAGAATTCATGTGGGAACCCATTACACTTAATCTTAGCCCACAGTATGCAGTTCCTGAGAGAGAACCTTCGCAATTTAGTGCACTGTTAATAAAATGGTTACTTAGAGCAGATGCTAGCTTCCTTCAGCTTAAACCTCATTTTCACTTTTTCTCTCTCAGGATCTACTCTCTCTTGTTTTCTTTGACACTTGCTTTATATCCTATATTTGCTTTGCTGCTTTCTTTGGCTTTATGAACAGATTATGTTGCTTCAAATAAATGTCCCCTACCAGTAATTAACACATGCTTTAGGAATTGTACATCTAACACAATGCATGCCACATAGTGAGAGCTCAATATATAGCTGTTGATTGAATGAATGTGTGAGGCTCTTTATGAAAGAGGTTGCATGTTCGCTCTGTGAGACCAGCAACATGGCTAAGTCATTTACTGTTCTTGGCCACATAAGTAACTTTTAGAGCAGTTGCTAAATTATATAACTTTCATTTATGACTCTGAAATAATCCAGGGAATGTCATTATTTCACAAGTCCAGTTCTTTATAGGCTTTTACTTTGACTAAGCGCCCTGCTCAAAGATTTCCTAAAAATGGAAAGTTCATTGAACGTTGCTATTCAAAGTGTCTGCTGGCTCTTGCTGCCCTGAGGTTAAAGTCCAATTTCCTTATTTCAACACAGAAGAACCCTCCAACCATGATTTCACCTCCCACGACCGAATCCTGGGCCTCAACACTCATCTCCACTTTCCCTGTGCCTGGGGAATCCTTCCGTCACTCCACCTGCTCTGCTACTGCAGATGCTCTTTCTCCTTTGCCCAGAAAGACACTTTTAGATGCAGCTCAAAAGACTTCTCCTTGGTTAAGCTTTTCCAGACATTCCCAAGGCTTCCTTAGTGCTGACACTGCTTAGTTATTTGTGCTTCAATAGCACTTCACTCCTGTCTCTGAACTAGCTCTTGGCATTCTTGAAAGTCTCCCGGAGTCCACTTGGCAGTCCTCCATGGGCATTCCCCGAGCTGGGCTAGGTAGCGATGCAGCTGATGGTTACTGGGTGAGCTAATGGATGCATGAGGGCTTCCTTCCTTTCTTCTTTGTGCCTGATAATACCTTCCCCCCCTCTTTTTCTCTCTCAAAGAAATTAGGGAAGGTAAGGGAAAAGACTATGGAGAAAGACAGTGGGAAAGGATACTTAAAGATACATAAAGGTTTTGGAATGACAAAGAACTGTATGAACCCCTCTACCACTTATTAAATTTTGAACTTGGGAAAATTACTCCACTTCTTAGAGGTTCTCTCACAGATTCAATGTGATAATGCAAGTAAAGTCTATAGTAGTGTGCCCGGCACATACGCGTGTTTGATAAATGTTGTCTGTTAAAGGGCACTGTACTTGCATTCTTAGCCAGCAGAAATTTCTTTAAGTAGTATTCACTCCTTCAACAAACTAGATATCAACGTTTTCCATAGCTATAGTAAGTTTCCTAACTACCTGGCTTTATTTTAGATACATACATCCTCCTTTTCTCTCTTATAGAAAACCTCTGCACTCAGAACAAGCTGACATGAGGTCTAGCTCTCGCTTTAGCCTTTCCAAGCCCTGAAACTACGGGAAAGTTCTTTTCTTTTTTGATAATAACAGCTGCTCTGTTTTTCTCAGGAATTGAGGAACATCAAGTGAAGCCATGTATATATGTGAAGTACTGGGAAGTGTGAATTACTCTTAAAGCCTCTTTTTTTTTTTTTGCCCCACCAAGATTGAGTAAGCACTCTGAGAAAGTTTGGAAAATGTATCCTCCAAACAAGGTAAATTGAATGTTCTCAAAAATAGGGGACTCATGCTGAATGAGTCGCCAAAAACCTGCTGGATATGGCAATTTACATGCCCTTTTTTAGGGTTTGCTTCACTTTCTCAAGGGGCTCACATAGGGCCCATCCAGCATCCCCAGCCCCCAACAAACAGACATATGAACCATTCCTCTATATAAATTCTCTGAGAAACAATTTTAAAAATATTTTCTAACATGAAAAACTGGGTGTTAGCATGAGACGCTTATTATAAAACTTGTGTAGTTAAAAGATTTTCCTGGTCACAGTATTTCTTTTTCCCAGAGGATGATTTGTTTAAAGTATCCTACAATATGGAAACAATAAACATACATATTCTTTTTCTTTTTACAACCTTTCTTAAACTTATGTAGAATGAGATTTACATTAGTGATGATGTGTGTTTTAATATATGTTTTTAAGAAAGTAGCTGATATTAGTGGTGCTTAAATAAGTGGACATATTATCAGAAATAGAAATACTAACCGCTACCAATGAAGAAAATACTAGATAAATTACTGGAAGACTTGTCTTTGCTAGCAGTGAAGAAAATA